ATTTTTGTTAATAAAGTCTTATATTTTGAACAGAAGTTGTGGTGAATTTATTCCATGTATGTGCAGAAATAACTGTTTGACCATGATTAGTGCTCGAATCACTCTTTCATCTATTGTTCTAACACACAGTTAGTAGGACTGTGTGTCATAAACGATTTATATCAGCTGAAATAATTAAATTATTTGATTAAATGATTAAATGAGATATTTTACCACCCCTACAGGGGAGGGCAATAAACATATTAAAGTATCAGAAATATAAATTCCCAGCGGGCAGGGAATAGAAAAGAACATAAAATCACAACATTTATATGGCGTCCCTGATTGTTGGCCTATAGAATCACAACGACAGATTGAAAAATATATTACAGAAAGAAATTCCACCAGAGCCTCCAGCCTACATGTCAGCATTGTCCTCCAGAGCTGGTACTGATCTGATCTCAGAATAAACTGCTGCATCCTCTGCTGCTGGACTTGACTTTCCTGTCAGTGAGAAGATATTTCTTAATAGAAAATGTCAAATCAATACACTTAAAGCAGAGGATTTTAAATACTGTAACATTAAATGCAGAACAGTGGCCTTTATAGTCAAATTTTACCTGTGGGGCTATGGTGAGACTGGTGTGTTTTCATGGTGGCACAAAGCAAAAGAAAAAAAATGGCAATAGCAGACTGATGACCCTCTAAAAATGCATATAGTTACTTCCCTCTATGTGCACATGTGTTGGGTTTGGATGCACTGAATAAGAAAATATGCTGAACCTTCTTTAAAGGACTCTGATGCCTTCTTTGTTGGCTTGTAGATATTAACTGTGATATATGCTGAGATAAGTCAGCTTTAGTGTAATGATGACATGAAATTGACTGTACCTGCAGCTCCTGTTTTCCCTTGAGAGTAAACGGCGCCCTCCTCTGGTGGTCTATGATGTCTACCTGTAAAGATCATCCAATATGAGGGATAAAACCACTCAGTCAATTTCTCATGTTTTACATTGTAGAAATGTGGGACTCACTCTCTTTCTTAGAGGATTTTATTTCAATGATAGAGTATGTAACATCTCTGAGTTCTTCTCCTGCTGAAATAATGCAAAAAAGTTTATGAGTTACTTGACTGTAAATTACATGATTCTATGCTTTAAAAGATAAACTTTACCATTCCCAGCAGCTTCAGCAGAGTTAATTATATCATAGAGATGAGCATCACCTAAAGTGAATAAAAACACCAAAAACTATCATGAATTTAAGAAAATTAACAATTTTTCAACAATTTACTTAAACCTTTCAAAACTGATATATAGAACTTTGACATTAACATAGTGATCTAAACAGCACCAGCAGAATAACAACAAAGCTCTAAAAATAATGATTCAAAGATGTGTAAGAAAAAAAAAAGTATATATATGTCCCATAAAATTACACGACCAATACAATCATAACTGGATGTGTACACCTTATTTTACCCTCCTTAAAGGTACACTATGCAACCGGTGTTGATTTTCCAGCGAGGCTCCCCCCAGAGGGCGAAAGTAAAAGT